AAAAAAAAAAAAAATAGAAAACACGAAGCAGAAGGAACGGCAGACAATACAAGATAAAGAAAACTACCACAACTCAGCGACTGAATTTTCATGAGCTTTCCAGACAAAGCACCTCTGATCGCCTGCCAAACTGAACCTCATCCTTCTATATCTTTAGCTAAAAACTATCTCCGAGAAACCTGACTCAAAAGAACAGCTCAGCGTCCACCGACACGAACTCCTGTTCAGAAATAAAAGTATGCTAATGACCTCTTTGCATTCAGTAACTATTAGACAACTGGCAAAGCATGCGCTAAACTATTTAAACTGTTGTCGTGTTGGGAGTTATGTTTACAATAAACACCTAAAATAACAGCTCAAAATTATTAGTTTTCAAAAACCGGTAAGCATTTTACGAGTAGGACGGCTTGAAGGTTTCTTGAAGTTATGCTGTCTTTATGCGATTTGTGCGTCGATTGTAGAGGACTGAAAGTTTTTATTTGTTGCTACCGATTTTTGATTTTTGAGGTTTTGTCTTCGTCATAATGGATAGAAAAAGAAGGCATGAAAGTGAGCGTTCAAGTGCAGGACCATCTTCAGACAACCAGAGTGAAGGAACTATCAAGAAAAAGCCAAAAGTTCTTGATGATTGTGCCAGTTCGTCGGAGTTTGATGACTACGATTTCTGGTTAATTAAAAAACCAGTCTCAGTGAGCTTTTCTTACAATTTTTTTCGTAATATCCTTTTGCCTCTCTATTCACTATGTTCTATTAAAAATATTGAATAAAGCTGGTGTCGATTCTCTCTTTCATCAGGTATTTGAAAGCTGGTTATAGAGTTTTATAGTTTTGCTGAAGACTGTTCACTGTTCTAGGTTAGCCCCGAATCTTTATCAAACCTGAAGTTTCCGTCAGTTGGAAAAGAAAAGAAGAAATCGTTTGCTTCATCCAGTGAAGAGAACTGCGTTTTGCGATGTCAGTTCGTGCCGGCTAATGCGCAACTATTATATGTCCCAACCTCTCACGTTAGAACCCAAAAGGAAGCAATGAATATGAAAGCGGGTAACTATCAGTCTGTCTCTTTTTCTTAATAAAACAATTATGAATTTAAGACATGTGTTCTTTCACCACTTTCGTCTTCCGGATTGTACTATGGTTAAGTAAGGTTTAAATGAAAAGGTGTAGGGTTATAGCATATTCCATTGCCGTGACTGAGTATAAAACCTAATGTTGTTTGACTTTATTTTTGTACTAAAAAATTTTAGAATTAATGGCATTATATTTCAGTTGCTGAAATTGGTGGTGTATGTTTAATAAGCAAGTTCCAATCAGAAGCCTCTCTAAGTGCTTCAGGTTAATTTTTCTATCGAATTTTTTATTCCTCTAGAAGGTTTTTTCATAACTGCGCAACAACACGTCTTTAGGTGGAAGTAGTTGCCCGATTGAGATTAATTCTATAAGGAAGAAACCGGAGCCTTTAGTTACAAAAAGTCGATCACAGTTAAAAGCTTTTGGCGTTCGGCATAGGAAGAAGAAAAGAAAATTATGCAACCTAAAGTGAATTTGCTTATTTCTTCTGGTCGGTAATCAAGTGTGGTTTTTGATATTCTTTATTATCTCTGTTTTTTCGACTCGTGCCCTGTCGTTCGTCTTTGTGCAATTGTTCAGTAATTTAAATCTGCCGTGTGTTTAAAACACTCCCTTACAAAATATAAAAAAAGTCACTTTATATACTGTGATCAGGGGTGATCTACGGAGATCTCCAGAATTAGCAAGATTTTGAAGATTATTTAGGAATCTGTTCTCGGAAAGGGAAATCACTATAGGTACTGTCTATTTTCTATTGTTTTATGTCTACTTTTTGGTTCTAAGATTTAACTGAGTCACTCTGCATTACACAGGACTTTTCTAATCAACGTACCTTCATTTTTACCTCATTAAAATGAAAATTGAAGGGTGACTTGTTATATCTGGTGTGGATTTATTGCAGCGTTTAATTTTTGAGTACTTGTTATTGTTACAGGTTTGTATGCAGAATATTTTACTTGATTTATGTGTCGTTGAAGAACTGGGATTAAACTGGTGACATTGTAAGACTGCAACCTGACAAAATAGTCCTTAATTAATTAAGGCGAATTGCTTAACTCTTCTCATTTAGGATCAAATCTGAAGTTACTGGTTGGGTTTCTTCGACTTTACATATTTTTGCAAATGTTTTGACACTTAGTTTTTTCTTGGAAATAATTTCTGATTCACAACAATTAGTAGAAGCGATGAAATCAAAGACTTGTGTCGATGTAGAGTAAAGTAGATTGTGATGAACAAATGCAGAACTGTGAGGTGTTACTTTGTCGTCTGACAAGAAAGGGTTCCTCAGTTTCTGTCAGGTCGCAGAAGAACGCCAGTAGCTGTTTGCATACCAGTGTGATTATGACGGCCGGACTGTGCTGTTTTGGCTGAGCCGCAATGTTCAGGGTTCTAGCAGAATTATTTCCAATAACACTACGTGTGGCTGAAATAGTTGCGCAGTAAAATAAAACGTATTTCAAATTGTCTGGAAGGTGCAGAGAGCTTGTCATCAAAAAAGACCTTGTATACCACTTAATGGAACAGACCCCATTGATCTTTGATGGCGGGAAGTTGAAAGAGTGATTATCTTGGAAAGGGGACAGGGGATTCGGTCTCAAAAGAAAATCTAGTCTTTCTAATTGTTTGGTCTTGTTTACTTTGTGCAGGAATTTTATTATCGCTCATTTAATCATTCCTATCGGTTCTGTTAGAATTGTATGGAACATTCCTGCCTGAGCTGAGCCGTCAAAGCCTTGACGCCAATATAAGAATCTACTTCTCTGATCGCAGAGGTCTGCTAATGAATAAGAGGCTGTGTTTTTTGTTATTTATTACACGAAAAATGCATGTAGAGGACTTAAATCTCTCGAAAAAATATCAGCCAGTTTGTTAGCTTCTTAATTTCTCATGTTTTTAGTATACGGTCTAGCAGAAGGTTTTCAATTTTCCCTTTCGATTCTATTTTTAATCACTTTTAAGACATGAGGATTTTCAGTAATCACTTTCATTATAAACAACTATAAGGAATACTTGGAAAACGGTAAATTTAATGTCAATTTCGAAATAGGATCGACCAAAAAACGTCGTAATTTGCAAAAAAACTGGCAGCCTTTTACCACCCAGAAGTCAATTTCGTGACAGAACAGATAGTAGTTTTTTCCAGGTGTGGACAAGAACTTTTTATTAATATTTATTGGTATGTATTTTTATATTGATAGGTGTCACCGTATAGGCTTTTAGCTTCTTTTACTTAATATTTATGAACAAAACTCGTCTAGCATTATAATTGCGCTCAAAAAAAAAGTTTTGAGCACTTTTGTACTGTAGCATTACATACTTTGCACTTTGAATGATTAATGAGATTATGGTACAGTTGAAGGAGATCATATTTGCTGTCGAGAAATAATGTTTGCTCAAGTGCTGAACAGTCTGCACAGCAGCAAATAATTGTAGCGTATTTCTCTTAAGCACCTGAAGCTCGTACGTTGCATCCTTTTGATTTTTACAGGAACCCGTGAACTGATCTTCAAATTTACGTTAAAATTTGTTAGGCTGTTGTACATGGCTGGCTGGAGGACTTCACATTGGAATGGTTTAGTAGGATGAACAGTCGAATTATATACTATTTGGCAGTTTAAATTTTTTGGATAGTGTTTTAATACAGTACCATTATTCAGGGGTATAAGAACCAGTTAGATTTCCATTTTCCAGTAATCGCTCCATTTCAGCTTTGGACCGTGAAGTATAATAAAGCCAGAAGAAACAATTAAAGCAGGAAAAACAAAGCGGAATACATACACGAAATATTCTATCTACCTGAAAAAAATTATTTTGTGCTATATATGAAAGAATAGTCTACATGTATGCTTTTTCTTTCCAAGAATATATTGGTGAACTGTTGATACTATTAAAGCGTGGTACCTCACAAATTTAACTTTACTTTTGATTTTCTGAAAAAAAAACATAGACATTATGTGAGCTAAAGAAGAAGAACAGAAGTGGAAGCATTGTTGAGCTACATATTTGAAAGGAAGGTTAAAAGATGGGTTGAAAAGAAAAATGTTTTTTTTAATTGCAATTCTAATTTACTTCACTTCAAAACATTGTTTTTGGTTATAAATGAAACTGATGTATTTTTTTGCTAGTTTTTCTACAAGAGGAAAAAATTTTTAATCTGTTGAATTAGTCGTGATGGATGTGAATACTTAAGATTATTCAATTAACATTTTGTCTTTTGCTGATAACATTCTCGACAAAACACATAACCAGGTTAAAGTAAAAATAATTTTACAAAGGATTTACAGCTGTGTGCATATTTATTTTAGGGAAAAAAGGAACAAAAACCTGACAATTAACGATTTATTGTTATGAGTATTTCAAAGATTACTCTTTCTTTTTTTTGACGCTGCAACTTTTATTTTTATTTTTTGCATCAAAGACGTTTTTTGAACCTTCCTTTATCATTTACGTAAATACACTACATTTTTTCCATTTCTCACGAATGAAGTTTAGGGTATACTTTCAATCATTAAACCGCTCTTACGTTTTTATGAATATTGCCTGGTCATGCGACTGACCTTTGAAAAGGCTTCTTTGGTTATGCTAAATTCTATGTCAGCCGATGTTTTTTCAACTTTTTTTTTGAATGGACAAAAAGACGACTGATTTAAAGAACTAGCAATTACTTACTGCTTCCCCACTCCACTGAAAGCTTCTGGGGATATCATCTAAGTGAGCATCAGTTGATGAAGTGTATACACTGCCAGGAGTATGAAGTGAATTCTCGTCTAGCGTTGGTCGTTCAACAACGCATGTTTTCCTCCTAAACAAGAGACAACTGATTATTAAAATAGAGCTAACATAACTAGCCTATTCATATTCGGGGTATTACTGTCTGTATCAACTTACATTTAGCTGACTTTTCATACATATGTGTTTCTTTTTTTTTTTTTTTGTTCTAAATTACCGACCTTTTTGGATACGGTGGTTCCTCAGCACGTAATGTTGAATGACAAAATATCGGTGCAGCTTCAACAGCTTTTATCGTCTTTTCAATTGAGCCGTATACTCTGCAATCGACACAGTTTACTTCTTATAACCACTTTCATTTTCTTTTAAAACTTTTTGCATTTTACAAATGTTTCAAGTGTTGTTAGAAATAGCTAACTAAAAAAAAGGAAGAAAAGTGCACAAAAAGTTGAAGCAGTTGTTGAAAATTCCAAAGAGGATCAATGAATGAAAAAGAAAAATGTCAAATTAACAGACCCAAAATGATTGTTGTTGAATAACGAATCTTTGCAAACTTTCTGGTAAGGATGTCGTTTTTCAGCCAATTTTTTTGTCCTTCTAAATACATGTCGTTCCATTTGGCCAACAATAGCTAATTCAACCAACGATAGAAAGATGAAACCCTAAAAAGCGCAATTTTAGATTTTAACAATACAAAGTTTAAAAGTTGAATTTTTCAGATTTTTTTCAGATGGCATTACTACTATTACAACTTTGTTCCTTTTCTCTGTTTGTTTCGTAATTTTTATTCATTTGTTTTATCGTTTATAGGACTTCTGTTCTTCGTATTGTTTTAAATTTAGAACAAATAAATATATGAAAAGAAATGTAAGTCTTTTTAACAAGAAAGAAAAAAGAAAGTTGTTGACAATTTTTCCCAGCATTGCCGTTGCCAAAAATATTTATTTGCTGCGGTGGAGGAGGAGAGTTTCTCTTATTAACTGACGACATTTTGGATAAGAGAAGGGGAGGGAGAAATGAGAACGAGGATCGCCGCTGAGATAGGGGACAAAGACGATAATTTGATTTTGAGGTAAAAAAGAAGAGGAAAATACCATCAAAATATAGCTGAAAATGGTTTAGTTTTTTTTCTTTTTTTTTTTTGGTTTAAAGTAATTTTGCCGAGAAAAAAGCAAAGTTTACTGTGTAAGCAGAGCGAAAGGTAAATTAAAGTAAAAAAATATGTTTTTAACCGATATAAACATC